ATGATGCTGGCGTGGGAGAAGCTCATGCTGCTCAACACATCGGGTGCGATCTTTGGCTCCCTGTTGTGTGGGGCCCAATGTTGCGGGACCCTGCTGTGAGGGACCGTGTCCTGTCGGACACTGTCGCGGACGACCTTGTCGTGCGGAGCCCTGTCGTGCGGAACCCTGTCGTGTGGTACCCTGTTGTGTGCGATCCGATTGTGTGGGACCCAAATGCGCGGGGCCGTGTCATGTGGGAGACTGGTGAACAGAACCATATCGTGCGAGACCCTGTCGTGCAAGACTGTGCCCTGTAGGGTGCTTCCGTATGAGACCATGTCAGGTGGAACCCTTCCGTGTTGAACCCTCTCGTGTGGACGCTCCCAAAAGACTTGCCGTAATGTCCCATTTCGCTGGCCGGAGCTCCCAGTAGCTATGGCCAGCGCAAAAAGATTCCAGTGGGGCAGCAGCCGCGCACCGCCGAGGCCCCCCCGCGACCATGGCCTATGCGCTACAGGGAAAGCAAGAACCCCGAAGCGCAACAGGCCTCGGAAGAAATTTGCGAACATTCATGCCAAAGTCATCTGTCAATGTCCTCCCATTACCAAAAAAGAATCAAAGTTGGCGGTGGGTTGAATGAGACCTCGACCGCAGAATTCTTCGCGCGTGAAAAATCTAAGTTTTTTGGGGAGAGGGGGGGAGTCCACTCACTGTTTCCCTCAATCGAAACCCTGCTTGGGGAATTTGGTTACGGTCAGGAATTTTGCTTAACGTGCCGCGGCGGCGGCCCCAGCGACGTGCTACGCCCTGCAAGCGGAAAGCGTGTCGCGTGTCGCGTGTCGCTCCGCTCCGCGCAGCGGAAGGCTGGGAAAGTCTCGGGACGTTGACGCATGGTGATTGGGAAGTGGTCAGCGTGTCGCGCCGAAGCGTCGTGTGCTCGAGCTGGCGGCGCGACGGACTGAGCAAAAGTGACTGACCGTAATGAGCTGCGTGGCCTGGTGCACGCACATATACGCTCTCAGTTGCCAGAAAGCAAGCTGTGCGCTACAGGACTTGGAGGTTTTCTTTGGAGCCCGGCATGTTTTGGTACATATACAACCTTCGGGGCCACTTTCGGGCCAATCCCACACAACCTTCGCCGCCAATTCTCCCAACCAACCACTCCGGCCAACCTGGGTCAGGGCACGGCTGGACCCAGGACAAAATAACATCCCCCGTGAACATGAGACCCTCCGCCGGCCAAACGGAGGAACACTCGAGGGTACCGTTCCCCAGGGTGCACAAGAACGCCCACCAAGCAAGAAGAGCATTACTCCGAGTTTCTTAAGAAGCGTCGGGGGGGCGTCACCCCCACCGACAGCCCAACATCGACCCCCGTCGCGGGCAGCCACCGCGCGCCGACGGCGCTCCGACCCATGTCGCGGCGCGACGACGAGGCGAGGTTGACCCCCGTCGGGGGGGTACCCCCCCACGCTTATTAAGAAACCCAGCTTAAGGCATACCCTCCCCGAGCCGACCTCGATCTGATACCTCGGTCCGACCGTACTTTCCCTCCATGGGATGCAATACCTTCGGGTGCCTTCAGGCGCTCCAGGGAAGCGTCCTGGCAAGTGCCTCTGGGCGCTCCATGAGAGCTTCCTGGCGCGTGCTCCCAGAGGTCTCCAGGGAAGCCTCCTGGAAACAGCGTCACGGCGGGACAAGGGATATGTCGACCCCTATCCCAGGCTTCGTGGGGTTTTCGAGTGGACCAGACATGTCGGGCCCAACCCTGGGATATACGATGGGTGGCGTCCATCATCGACAAGGGTGCGTCCGAATAGCCCCTCTGGGGAGTATCCCATGGTTTTCATTTTTTTTCTGGGCGGCCAACCTTTTCGGGCGGAACTCGGGGATTGGGGGAGAAAAATCGCCTGCGATGGCAGGTACCTTCGGTCGACCCAGCTCTGGCGCTCCAGCGAAGCGTCCTGGCGAGTACTTCTGGCTGCTGGCTGCCCCAGTGCAATGTGCCTTCTCCAGACATGCGACGTCTTGATTGTTTCCATGCACGCTTCCTGGAAGCCCCGACCGCCCGACCGTTTCCCCAGAACCGGCTTTCCATCCCGAGTCGTGTCTTGATGCTCTGGAGCCTGGCGAGGGCTCCCAGAAGCCAAAAACTGTTGGAATCGCGTTCTTGTCTCAATGCGCGATGCTTTTTGAATTGACTTTGGCCAATTGTTTGTCAAAGCCGTCGAGGCCACACCATTTAGGCGATCTGCTGCGCAGAAGCACGAACGAGACATCGCAGAGGACAACACACGGGTGAGGGCTGCCAAGGTCGGATGGACCGCCGAACCCAAACCCGTGCAGAAGAGCAGCCACTGCGAACACGACAGCAATTGGCGTGCAAGCTGTACAAACCAGTTGCCCTAGCAAACAAAATATTGGCCTGCGCCGAGGAGCAATTTAAAGGCCCTCATTTTCTCTGTGTCGAGCAGCTGCGCAAAAATCCCACCCTGGACCGTGGGCACGGCTGGCTCGGTTCTTCGAGAGGCGGCCATCCCTGAATTTCTCGGGTGTGCTTGCCCCAAAGCATCAACACATGAACATGCAATTTCCGAGGTCCGCGCGGATTTCTTGGATCAGCGATGGACCCATCTCCCTGGCGAGCGGAACGCGCCAGGGGCGGTGCCGTAGGCGCCGCCAAGGGGGTCCAGCGCAGATGCGAGAAATCAGTGCGGACCCGTCAAACGTTTTTTTCTCTCGTTACGGCACAACTTAATCCCATTGATGACCTCACCCTCGAACACTGCTGATCACTACAGCAAAGCTGCGCCGCAGCGTGCAACAGAGGAAAGCATGACGGTCGGAGCGCTGCCGAGAGCATAATCACAAGCACAGCCTGCGATGCCACACCGTAAAACAAACGTATCAGGTATAGGGCGACCCACCCGACCCGAGACGTACGAAACGCTTCCAGCCAGGCAGGGAAGAGGGGGAGAAAAAGGGGCGCAGGGGAAGCGCAGCAGGAACTCGTGGGCGCGGAGGCCTTCAAAGCGCGCGGGCTCGGGCACACACGAGCAGAGCGGACCCGTCGAAAACTTAAGTGTATGACATGCTTTCTTCTTCGATTCATGTGCATGCTAATTGCGTGATCCACGGACCAAACGGCGGCCCCAGATCCAGAGGGGCCGCCAACATCTGCACGAACGCGGTGTGGCCTGCTGGCCGGATAGCACGGCGCAAACCGGCGGACAACTTAGACTGGGCCTTACGGTCCAAAACCCGGACAACCAGCCACAAATTGGTGCAGATGTGGACTGCGTGGTGCAGTCCCATGCCTGCACCGCGCACCGCGCAGTCCACACAGCAAGCCAGTAGTAGCCGCGACGGTTTTAGCCTGCGGCTAGCACCGTCGCGGCCAGTCGTAAGCGGGACTCCATCCTACCACAACAACATGCAGGCGAATCGGCAACAGCGCAGACGGCAAGCGCGCCAGTCTGCGGCCCACGTGCAGGAACATCGAGCTCCGACGAAGACCCCGCGCCAACCAAAAAACACATGCGAGATATATTCGCATCATCGCATGCGGCAAACAGGCTCACATTCGCCCCGCGTGCGCGAGCATCGAGCTCCGACGAGGGCCCCGCCCTCCCCGCGCCTGCCCCCGCTTTGGAGAGAAGGGGCGTGCGGAGAGGCAGGCTGCCGCGCCTCGCGGCCGGGCCCTCCGCGCGACGCTGGCGGAGGCCTTGGGCCGCCGTGCCGCCGCGGCGGCAGCCTCCGCGACAGTGGCGGAGGGGCACACGCCCTATAGGGACGGCTGGCACGATGGCGAACAGGAAAGGGCACCGTGGCCTTTGAGTCTCCTGCCCTTACCAGCCTGGAACATATCCCTATCCCTATGCTGGGCACCTCCTCATCGCGATGCCAATCTTAGGGATTCCCTTATTTCTTGAGGGCGAACCTCAAGATTGGCATCGCCTTTTGGCGTGTCAATCTTAGGGACAGGGATACGTTCGAGGCTGGTGGTGCCCGCCTCCCCGCCCTCTCGCTCTCTTTGGCTCCCCCCCCTGCCCACCTCTCCGCCCCACTGCGAGCCGCGCCAGCCTTCGCCTCGCGCGGGCCTGCGCCCTGGCTGGCGATATGTGCGCGGGAGCGCGAGGGGAGGAAAAAGATGGCGAGGGAGAGGGACGTGAGATCACGGCTGGGCGCGGGTCTCGCGCAGTGAGGTTCGAGCTGGAATCACCAGAATCAAAGGTCACTGGGGAGGTCCAACTCCCAGACATCCAGCGAGTCGACATTTCCGAGGCATGGGCCCCCAAAACCCCTGGACCGCTTCCCCGAGGCCGGCTTTCCATCACGAGCATCTTTCTGAGGGCCGCGGGGCCTGGAATTGACCTTCAGAGGCCAGAAATGCGGAAAGACTGGGCGTCTGGATTTTTTCGAGACGCCATCTGTCGTATGGGGGTAAACGTAAACTTCTGGAGGTCTTCGCTGATTTCTGGGATCGGCGCCGGAGGCGCCGCCACAGAGACCCCAGCGCCGATCCAGGACCTCCGAAACTCTTTATGTTCACGCAATTCTTCTCACGACTCGATTTTGCACCATCTGCCACATGTCTGGGACTCTGGGCGCGCCGCACCCTGTCCCTGTTTCTAGGCGACCAGGAGGGTCTGAACTGGTTGGGGCCGAGAGAATCGGCCAGGGGGAGATGAAGCCAAATCCGCTCAAAATCGGTCCCCGGATCCCTCCTGGGGTCCATCAGGTGCAATTTCTCGCCTGATGTGTCTGTGACGGTCCCGGGGCCCGAAACTGGCCCCGGGAGGCTGAAAAAGGCAAAAAGCCCCCCAAAGCCCAGCACCTGGAGCCCCTCCCCTCGTCTTTCCTTTCTGCAGGCCAGAACCGATGCGGGGCCACCTCAGACCACCAGCCAGCCCCAAGGCCCCCTCCTCCTCCTCCTCCTCCTCCTCCTCCTCCTCCTCCTCCTCCTCCTCCTCCTCCTCTCTTTGCTCTGCCCTTGCCCTTGCGCGCCGCGCGCGCGCGCGTCAGAAGCCCCGGAACAGCTGCTGCTGCGCCTCGGAGAGGCCGCCCGTGGCGTGGGCGCCCGCCTCCTGCGGGAGGCCGCCCGCGGCGCTGCCGCCGGCCTCCCGCTCGGGGGGGCCGCCGCACGCGGCGGGCCCGCCGCCGCCGCTCGAGCCCGGCAGAAAGGGCGAGGTGCACCTCTGTCGGGTGCCCGGAGCCCCTCGAGTCATGGCAAAAATCACGGCAGGAGGTATTCTTCATTTTGGGCCTCCGAGCCTCGGGGCTGTCAAAACATGGCCCCGGTCCCGGGGAATGGGTGGAGACCTCTGGGGGTCCACGTCCTGAAAGGATGATGACGTCGGGGGTCGGTGTGCGGGGACAGCAGGCGACCACAACCACATCGAGGACGCACCCTGGGTGATGTTCTGCGCACTTCATACATCGCCAGAACACCGAAAGACCAGCTAAGTACTGGTTGTGGTCGATGTGACGTCGCAGGATGCCAGATCGACCACAACCCCAACCAAAGTGCTCACGTCGAGGTCGGTGGGATCTCCCCCGATGGGGCCCTTCAGAAAAACTAGTTGAGTTGTGGTGATGGTTCTTTGTTGCGCCCTGACAGGAGGATGCTAGGCCCTGGACACACTAGGTCAATTGATTGTACTTTTCTTTACGCTTGTTGCAATTTCTGGCGCTACTTTGTTATTGACGCTTCAGGCACCGCCGGTTTACCGCTTTCGTTTCCCCTGGCGCGGGTCTGGTCCAGATCTCAAATTTCTTACCGAACCCGAATAATTGGCGATCCGGTTCCGAACAACTGTTGTTTACCGTTTCGGTGAAAAGACTTTTTTGTTTTCTCGTGATCGCGAGGCAATGTTTTGGAAACGTTTTGAACACGGCCCTGCCGCTTCCAGGGCATAGCCCCACATCTCGGACGATATGTTTTTCCCAACCTCCCTGCGTTGGGTCCTCATTTTGAAGAGACAGCGCCCCGCGTTCTCCTCCTCTCCTCCTCCTCCCGTCATCCCTCCTCCCATGCGTGCCTGTGCGCACCGCATGCCCATTTCGGCACTCTGCCCTCCGCATGCCCATATCGGCACACCCCTCACACAGTTCGTGGCCCCATAGGGAGCTCCACCCAAGGCCCCAATGGCCGCGTTCACATGCGTCCACCCCGCCCACCGCATGCCCATATCGGCACACCCCTCACACGGTTCGTGGCCCCATAGGGACTCCACTCAAGGCCCCAGTGGCCGCGTTCACATGCGTCCACCCCGCCCACCGCATGTCCATTTCGGCACATCCCTCACACGGTCCGTGGCCCAATAGGGGGCTCCACCCAAGGCCCCAGTGGCCGCGTTCACATGCGTCCACCCCGCCCACCGCATGTCCACTTCGGCACACCCCTCACACTGTCGTGGCCTCATAGGGGGCTCCACCCAAGGCCCCAGTGGCCGCGTTCACATGCATCCGCCCCGCCCACCAACACCCCTCACACGGTTCGTGGCCCCATGGGGAGCTCCACCCAAGGCCCCAATGGCCGCGTTCACATGCGTCCACCCGCCCATCACATTCCCATTTCGGCACATCGCTCATACAGTTCGTGGCCCCATTAAGAGCTCCACCCAAGGCCCCAGTGGCCGTGTTCACATGCGTCCACCCGCCCACCGCATGCCATATCGGCACACCTCTCACACGGTTCGTGGCCCCATAGGGAGCTCCACCCAAGGCCCCAATGGCCGCGTTCACATGCGTCCACCCCGCCCACCGCATGCCCATATCGGCACACTCATCACACGGTTCGTGGCCCCATAGGGAGCTCCACCCAAGGCCCCAGTGGCCGCACTCACATGTGTCCACCCCGCCCACCGCATGCCCATATCGGCACACCCCTCACACTGTCGTGGCCCCATAGGGAGCTCCACCCAAGGCCCCAGTGGCCGCGTTCACATGCGTCCACCCCGCACCGCATTTCCACTTCGGCGCACCCCTCATACGGTTCGTGGCCCCATGGGGAGCTCCACCCAAGGCCCCAGTGGCCGCGTTCACATGCGTCCACCCCGCCCACCTCAAGCCCATTTCGGCACACCCCTCACACAGTTCGTGGCCCCATAGGAGCTCCACCCAAGGCCCCAATGGCCACTTTCACATGCGTCCACCCCGCCCACCCCTCACACGGTTCGTGGCCCTATAGGGAGCTCCACCCAAAACCCCAGTGGCAGCGTTCACATGCATCCACCCCGCCCACTGCATGCCCATTTCGGCACACCCCTCACACGGTTCGTGGCCCCGTAGGGAGCTCCACCCAAGGCCCCAGTGGCCGCGTTCACATGTGTCCACCCCGCCCACCGCATGCCCATATCGGCACACCCCTCACACGGTTCGTGGCCCCATAGGGAGCTCCACCCAAGGCCCCAGTGGCCGCACTCACATGCGCCTACCCCGCCCACCGCATGCCCGTTTCGGCACACCCCTCACACGGTTCGTGGCCCCATAGGGAGCTCCACCCAAGGCCCCAGTGGCCGCGTTCACATGCGTCCACCCCGCCCACCGCATGCCCATTTCGGCACACCTCTCACACGTTTCGTGGCCCCGTAGGGATCCCACCTAATGCCCCAGTGGCCGCGTTCACATGCGTCCACTCCGTCCACCGCATGCCCGTATGGGCACACCCCTCACACGGTTCGTGGCCCCATAGGGAGCTCCACCCAAGGCCCCAGTGGCCGCGTTCACATGCGTCCACCACGCCACTGTATGCCCATTTCGGCACACCCCTCACACAGTTCGTGGCCCCATCGGGAGCTCCACCCAAGGCCCCAGTGGCCGCGTTCACATGCGCCCACTGCATGTCCATTTCGGCAAAACTCTTACACGTTTCGTTGCCCCAGAGGGAGCTTTACCCACGGCCCCAGTGGCTGCGTTCGCATGCACCCGCCACACCCATGTTGGCACACCCCTCACATGCTTCCTGGTCCAAGAGGGACTCAGAACTGCATGTGGTTGGGTCCTTCGCCATGCTAATTTTACTGCTGGCGCTCTGCCTCGATTTTCTGCCTCTGGGGCCCGTTCTAGAGCTACCAGGACTAATTATCAGAAATGGACCTGAAAAGCTGCCCCTGGGGAACGGGTCGTTAACTTGGAACTCGGGGGAATCTATGTAGGAAGAGTGCATGGCATAAACATTTCGCCCGCACGCGCAACTTCTCGACGTCGGAGCTGTTTGCAGGGGCGAAGGCGGGGAACGCAAGGGCTTGGGGCCTCTCAAGGGCGCCAGGGTGGTCCTGCGCCGATCCAGGAAATCCGCGCGGACCTCAATCAACTGCGTGTTCATGCAGATTTCTGCTCTTCGAGGCTACATACCCTCGCGTTTTTGCTGAGCTTTTTGCCGCTGGGGCGCGTCATCGCGTCCACTGGGCTATCACAGACTGGTCCAGGGCGGAACGCTGCCCCCCGGGGAAGGGGTCGGGACCCCTGCGGGCCGCACGTTGACAAACATCACGCCGTCGGATGCTCGGGGCGTGGACGACAGGAAGAAGAACCACCTGCGTAAACCGATGCGCACGGGCATAACAAGTCTCGACGTCGGCGCTGGCCGCAAGTGCGAGGGCGGGGAGCACGAGGGTTCCGTGGCCCTCTGGGGCCCCCGGTCTGGCCGAAATTTGCGCGTTTCCCCGAAACGCCGACCATGGCATCCCCCATGTGTTGTCAATCGATCGACATTTCGGCCATCGCCCTTCCGAGGTTCCCGGCGGATTTCTTGGATCTGCGCTAAAGGGCGCCAGTGGCGGAGCCAGAGGCGCCGCCAGGGGGGCCCCAGCGCCGATCCCAGACATCCGCGCGGACCTTTGAATTTCCTGTTTATGCAGGTGTTGGCTTCTCGACGCTAGGCAATCCTGGCCTGGGGCTGTCCTGGGCCCAAGATCGGTGTCGTACGCCCTCGCGGCTCGGCCAGGAGGGCGCCTGCACCAGTCCTGGGTCCCAAGACATTGGCTGAGGCCACGGGGTAAATGCGGGGCTAGGTGGGCAGTTGGTGTCCTCGGGCCTCTGCTGGAGGAGGTCGCCCCACTCCACGGTGGAGAACCACGGGTGGCACTGGACGCGCTCGCTGCCGCCAGCGCCGCTGCCCAGGCGCAGCGTCTGGTCTTTGATCAGGAGCAAGTAGACGATGCTCTTGGCCACGCTGCTGAAGTAGGGGGGGCACCGCGGATCGCGATCGAGCACGTTCTTGTAAATCTCTCTCGCGGTGCGCCCCTGGAAGGGAGTCTCGGACGCGAGCATTTCGAAGATCAGGATGCCGAGCGCCCACCAGTCCACACACTTGCCATGTCCAATGTTGGACAATACTTCGGGCGCCATGTACTCCGCAGTCCCGCACACTGTGTGCGTTTTTGTTCGGACTACTTTAGCCATCCCAAAATCGATGATCTTCGCATGGCCCATAGAATCGATTACCACGTTTTCTGGCTTGAGGTCACGATATGCGATATCCAGACTGTGAGTATGACCGAGTGCAAGCGTGATCTCAGCAGCGAAGAAATGCGCACACGCATCGTCAAACTTGGCGCTTCTCATGGCATAGAACAGCTCGCCGCCGTCAACAAGCTCCGTGAGCATGAAGAGGCGCGACTCGTCCTGGAACGTGCCCATCAACCTGACGACAAACGGATGGCTGGCAAGTCCGAGGAGCTGCTTCTCTTGCATCACGCGTGCAACTTGGTGCTCCCTGACGACCTGCCATTTTTCGATTACCTTGAGCGCATACGGCGTGGCGTTTTTGCCACTGGCATGCCTGACCATACAAACTGAACCCATATGGCCATGACCAAGAGTTCTCACGATCTCGAAATCTTGCATCTTCCAACTCTCGCTTCCTCCCCTTCGCGAGGATTGGCGCGTGCTCATGTCGGGCCTCGCTGAAGCGCGGGGGCTGTTTGGCAGCTCTGGCACACCGGGCATGTCCGCGCCGCACACAAAGCCACTGCTGGCTTGGCAGCACATCACGTCGTCGAACTCGCTGGGTGTTCGGCTGCTTGACTTGCTGAGGCTGGCCGTGGTGGAAACATCGCCATCGTCATTGTGATCGCACTTGCACGTTGCGCCCCTCGCCACGTGGGAATCAGACCTGAACTTCGCCCTGAACTGACCCCAGTAGGACGACCTGAATATGGAAGGCGCCCTTCGAAATGTGCGGCGGATCCCTGGACCGCGATTGCGCGCGCCAGAAACGGTTGGGCCACCCATGGTGGCCTGCGCTGTGGTGGCCTGGTCCGAAATGGCTTGAGCCAGAAACGGCTACGGATCGACCTCTCGGGCCGTTTCTGACATGTCATGTCTCTTCCAAGACCCGAAGTGGCCCCGAAGCCCCCCCAAATAATCATCAAATAACACAAACACGTCACCCGAGGTAGCCAACGACGACAGACCCTCCCGGTTGCCAGAAGAGCGAAGACCGTTAAACAAAACTGTAGATATTCTGCGTTGCCCTTAGATTCCGACATTGAGGACCACGATGGCCCGAGGCCTGCCCTGAGAGGGACAAAGACCCATCCAGGAGGGATTGCTCGCCATTGTCAGACACACCCTACGAGGCCCCAAGAAGCCCCCCAAATGAGGATCCAGATATCCCAAATCAGGATTTGGATGTCATATTCTCTGCGACGGTAGTAAGGCATGCTTGGCGAAATCAGCGCAGTCCTGCCTTATGACCCCTCTCGAATTGGGATCGTGCTGGCAATCTTTTTCTGCAATGTTGGGGCGTTGGATTGTTGTTGTGCTGCTGTTGTTGTTGCTGCTGCTGCTGCTGTTTTTTTTGGTTGCCGCTGCTGCTGTTGACCTCTCACTACTGAAGAATTATTATTGTTGATCCCCCCTCCAGTGCACATTGAATTTTTCAATTGAAGTGCCCCTCCCGGCGTTCGCACCCTGTATTTTATCAAAGAAAATCTTCCTCCTCAAACTGTGTTGTCGGCCCCCGGTTTGCAACAACAACTGCTCCCGCTTGATACTTCCTCGGAAGTTACTCTGGTCCCCCGCTCCCGCTTGAGACTTCCTCGCAACTTACACAAGAATCGCGGTCCCGTCTGAGACTTCCTCGCACTTTACTCTGGTGCCACGCTCTTGCCATTCAGGAATCGCGCGTTCACTGGGGACTTCCTTTCCTCAAGTTTACTTAGGGATCGCTCTCTCGCTGGAGACTTCCTGGCTAATCTCGCAGAACTCACGAAGAAAGATATACCCACCAAAAGTGGTGTTATCGACGACGAAGAGGGCGGGTATCGAGGGTTCGGGAAATGCACGTTGAATGACACTCGAGCAGATAAGAGCGAACAATATTAAATTGCTTGTTGTCGTTGTTGTTGTTGTTGTTGTTGTTGTTGGTGTTGTTGTTGTTGCTGTTGTTGTTGTTGGTGTTGTTGTTGCTGTTGTTGAACTCTCATTCTTGGACCGATCACAAAATACGAACATATGCTAGGGCTGGACCGAGGACACAATAACATTCTTCAAGAACATGAGACCCTCCCGCCGGCCAAACTGAAGAACATTCGAAATGTGCCCTCCCCCAGCATGCACAAGAACATCCGACAACCGCGACACACATCAAGGCACCCTCCCCGAACCGACCTCGATCTCACACCTCGGTCCGACCGTACCTCGCTGCTCGAGGATCGGGGACTTGGGCCAGACCGCCGAGGAGCCCACTCCTGGGAGCCCGCGCGCCGCCTCTGCCTCCCTCGGGGAAGCGAGGGAGCACGCCAAGGGCCACCGGCCCCTCCCGGAAGTGCGCGGACAACATGACGCAGGTTATCCCAAACGTATCAGCCGCAAACCGCCAGGTCTTGAATCAATCCGTTTCCGATCTCGGCAGCATCCTCCTTCCCGTATCTTAACGCTGAGTTGCATCATTTCGTCCTCCTGGACCTGGGGTGCCGCACCGAGGCAATTGAAATCTGAGGGGTGGGGATTTCACTGTAGATGAAACCGCATGGGTCACAAATAACTGGCATTATTTCGTCCTCCCACCGGAGCGCATCCGTTGGCTGGCGGCGCGGCTGAAAAAGGGTGAGTGAGACGAAGGCAGGGTACATGCAACGTCGGATTGGGATGACCTGACGTCCTGGCGTCTTCAGAAAAACACGACGCCCCCTGTCTGTTTGTCAGAGCGTTCTGCCTCCCTGGAGCCCCTGCTGCCCCTCCCCCCTGGACCGTCAGAATGCGACCCCGGATGACAAAACGGGCCCCGGGAAGGGGTGCGTGCCTCTGGGGAACCACGCGGGGAACACCTCGCAAGGTGGGGTGCCCGGGCAAGCCAGGGATCCCCGAACGCAGCGGGCCCGGAGGGTGTGAAGCGGGGAGCCACGGCCGCTCCAGAACGCTCCGAGACGCTCTGAGGGCGCCCCGGAGCGCCCCTGGGAGCGACAGGCCTCGGAAGAAACGAGCGGCCACTCGTGCCACAGTCTTCTGTCAATGCCCCCCGCTCTCAATGATCAAAGCTGGCGGTGGGTTGAGTGAGTTACAATTCGACGGCAGTCTTCCCCGCGCGCGCGCGCCAACTTTGAATTTTTGGGAGAGGGAGAGTGTCCAATCCTTGTTTGCCTCTACTGGATATCTCCTTATCCTGAGCATGCCCGAGTGGGGCGACGGGGGTGGCGTTCGGAGAAGGCGAGGGTCTTCCTCGAGGGGCTCGGAGGCTCCGAAAGAAGGCCTCCCAGAACCAGGACGAGAGCGATGTCATGATGCGACTGGCCCTGGACACGTCCCAAGAGTCCTGGAGTACCCGGCGGCTCTCGTTCCTGGGGCCCGTGCGGAACAACAGGACATGTCGGAAATCTGGGAGCCTGTCATGATCACGAGTTCTTGTAAGAGGAGGCCGGGGGTTCTGAACTGGATGGACGTCGAAACAATCAGTCAGGAAAGGGAGGTCAGGGTACTTCAGCTCAAAATTGGTTCCCGGAACCCTCCCTCCCAATGTCCGTCTGGTGCAATTTGTCATCTCCGATCATCTTTTAAAGGCCCCAAGCCCCCAAAGCGGCACCCGGGCAGAAAAAGCTACAAAACCTGATCGAATCCTCCCTTGCATGCTCGCCAGAGTTAGTGCTGGGCCACCTCAGACCCATAGCCGGCTCCAAGCTTATTGTTCCTCTGAAGGAGGCAGGATGCCCTCGGGGAGGATCCCCATGCCAGTCTGATGAGGCGGCGGCCCCCCTCACCGCAAATTCCAAGGCTGAATTCCGCTCAAGGCTGGTCTCTTCAGGCGTTGTTCAATGGGGGGCGATGGGTGAGGGGGGCTGGGGGAAACGTGCACGTTTCGTGCCTCTTTGGGGCTCCAGAGGGCCCCATTCGGGCACAAATGGTGCACATTTCTTCACCCATTCCTCGCCCCCCCTCTTACGCAACGCCCGATGGACCCCTCCCAAGGTCCATGCCGGCCAACTATTCGCACTGAATCTGTCCGTAACGACAAGGACTCCCAAAGACGTGGCACAAACATCCGCAACGACGTCGACGACGACGGCGACTTGGACGGCGAGGAGAAAGACAGCGACGACGAGTCAGCCACAGGCCTTCTCGCGGTGGCTGAAAGCCTCTGAATTTCGCGGAGGCCCCCTTAGACTTGAAGGGATCCCTGGGGGCAAAACAGACCAAGACCCTCGATCAACGACGACGCAGACGAAGAAGCCGGCGGAGGTGCCCCGCGAAGCGTTTCCCGCCCGCGCCTTCATGAACTGCGCGACATCCGAGATCGGCCCGCTGGGCACGGGTCGCCATGCGGAATGGGATGCAGACACAGAGCTATCAGCAGGGCAACCAGAGCTGCTGCAAGTTTTGTGGCAAGCGAGAGAAGCAGAGACCCATCATTCTGTATGCGTATATGTAAAAATACATGCACGCACATACATGTATACATGCATAAGTAGGTGTGCATATACATATATTTATACACATGTGTTTTAGCCAACGTGGGACCCAAACAACGACTTCCTACAATCTACGTGGCGCAATCGACATGGTCAGTTGATTTGAAGAGCCGGGACTTAAAAGCCCCACTGCTCGCGCAAACATCCCGCCCTCCGACTCGCAACTTGGTTTGCAAAACCCATGCGGCGGCGATTGCGCGATGACTGCTTGGCCATGGCTGGCGCATCTCTGCTGCTGGCGCGGTCAAGCTCGCGCGCAAAGCGGCCAGCTGATTTGGCCCCGGGAGGCTCCAGGAGGCTCCAGGAGACCCCAGAAAGCTCCAGGAGGTTTCAAGAGGCCCCAGGAGGCCCCAGGCTCATGCGCATAGACGCACTAATACTACTTAGACTCATTCACGCTCCAACTCATTCACAGTTAGTTTCACTCCCAGACCGTCAATACTCAAGCCCGCTTCTATTCGAAAGCTCTTGCGCTTAGACACTCACGGCGGTGACACATCTGGGGGACTCCAGGCAATATGAATAATTATTACTTTCGCCGCGCCGGAAGGACAGTCACACCCACACCTCACTCATCGCTCAGACTCGCACATCACTCAGACTCACTCATGCTCAGACTCGCTCTTTCTCACTCAGACTCACTCATCGCCTAGATGCATCCATCACTCAGGCCTAGACTCGCTCATGATAATGATGATGACGATGACGATGATGATAATGATGATGATGATGATGATGATGATGATGATGATGTTGATGATGGTGATGGTGATGATGATGTTGATGATGATGGTGAAGATGAAGATGAATATGAAGATGATGAAATTGATGAAGATGATGAAGACGATGATGACGATGACGATGACGATGACGATGATGATGATGATAATGATGATGATGATGATGATGATGATGATGATGATGATGATGATGATGATGATGATGATGATGATGATGATGATGATGGCGGAGCAGATTCAGATATGTCTCGAGCGAGGCGCGGGTTTCAGCACCCCCAAGGGGGAGCCGCCAGGAGGTATCTCACTCCTCCGTTCGCGCCAAATTGGCGGGGATGTCTCGAGCGGGTTGCCTGTTTGTGCTCCCAACATCCTCCGCTTTCGGAGCAGATTTTGAGGATATCTCGAGCGAGGCGCCCCCAAGGGGAGCCGCCAAGGGGTGTATCACTCCGCCGTTCGCGCCAACATGGTTGGGATGTCTCGAGCGGTTTGCCTGTTTGTGCCCGGTGCCCCAACATCATCCGCTTTCGAAGCAGATTTGGAGGATGTCTCGAGCGAGGCGCTGGTTATCGCACCCCTGGTGGCCCAG